CTCCGGATACAGAATTTTAAAGGTAGTGGAGTCTGAGTATATTCAGCCCAACCTCACCATGATTGGTGAACAACTTTTTGGCACCTGGATGCCCAGAAATAAATGTCAGCAAACCGTAGATCCATTACCCCTATGAGGATAGAGTGTATACCCACAGCCCCCATGTTTGGAGCTGAGAATTTTGGAAATATGGCACCTCTGTATGCCCGGAAATAGCAGCTGGAAACCTGGAGACCCTCTCCTTTCCCCTTCCTGTATGTAAAAATGTAAAATGGTAGACAACCTTCTCGCTTTGCTCCTTTTATGGGCGTTGAGTAGTACCTAACCAGAACCAGAAACAAGATTTAAGGTTAGTGGGGACTAGAGTTCATACCCACCACAGCCTCACCATGGTTGGGTGAGATGGAAATTTTGACAATAGCTCACCTCTGTAGATGCCCGAAATAGCAGCCTGACAATTTGTAGAGCCGTTACTCATCCCCCTCGAGGGCAGACTCAGCATTTGGGACATTGAATATTATATATATATATATATATATATATATATATATATATGTAGGATATATTATGTTAAATAGTTTTGTTATTTACTCCTGAGATCTTACATGAGATGTTTAACGTGGTGTGCGTTTTTAAAATAATCTCTCATTTCTTCTATGTTAAGGCCGTCCAATTCCCTGAAAGACAAGACAAATTGATTGTTATATATGAAGGAATCATGATATAGGAGAGCACGTAACTAACATGTCAATTTGCAAATTCGTCCAATGTTCATTCCACTCATGATTTCGAAAACTCACAATGTGGGGTGGGATTTCATTTGCGCTTTAGATCTAGACGGTCTAAGCAATTAATACTATAAATTAAGATCATTGGTGTGAAAAGAACACCAATTATCATGATGTCTTGATGGTCTATAAAATAAACCAATGCTATACGGTACCATGTAGTGGAATTAAACTAGTAAAACTTCACTTTATACTTACAGAGTTTCAATTTGCTCGTAAATTGGCATGAAATCGTTTTTGTATGTACTTTTACAGACTGCACGAACTCCACCAAAACATTCGCAACTCTCTGGGCAAACTCTGCTAGTGTTGTTGATAGCATCATTGCTGCTATATGTGATGTTTGTACACATTGCTACCAAAGGCAGCAGAACAAATAACACTGCAACGATCCTGTACATTCAGAGGCCGTCTAAACCATTTTATGAGTAAAAAAAGTAAACAGAGGCAGTCCTAAATAATAAAGAAATTTCACCTTTAACTGTCCTAAATGTCCCAACCCACTAAAATGCTTTACTTATTTAACTTTTAGGTAGCTTTGTGTGGAGAATCATTTGACCATCATAACATTTTATTTCAGGTGACCTAATTGGAGATCACTTAAGGGAAACCATATTAAACGGTAGTAAAACCATGCAAACAATATTATGTGCCAGTATATTTACCAGGTCGCAGGGGTCCCAAGACGCACGGAAATCGCAGGACAGGAGTCAACCAGAAATCGGGACGGCCTAGCACTCCCGCAAGTAAGCAAGAATCTCCCGAAAAATAACCCATCTCCCGCAAATTCATAATATTTGCATGTTTTTACTTCTTCATTATCAATTGTCTCACGGAAGTCAGTGCCGATGTGTATCACCATGCCCAGTAAAATAAAATTAAATACGGTATGTTAAGAAAGCTCATTTAACCAGATGCCTAGGCCCCTACGTCGGAAGCGTTGAACTTGAGACCCCTTAATAACAGTGTATCATTAATAAATTATTATTATTATTATTATTATTATTATTATTATTATTATTATTATTATTATTATTATTATTATTATTATTATTATTATTATTCATTATTGATACTATTCTTATTTATTTATTTATAAATCTTTAAAAAAATTCGTTCAGAAAAGTAACAATATGCTTATGTCTGCATTCGCCTAATAACGTAATAAACTGTATCGATTCTGAATTTTGCAGGTGCAGATTTAAGAGACACTTAAAACAGTAAAAAAAAAACAATAATTCATTATGCATCTCTTTAAAAACTGATAGAAATCTAAATGTAGGGCCTAATAAACGCCTGAGCTTCCAGAGCAAACCGGATCCTTTGGAAGTCCTCTCCATATCCCAGTCAGTGGAAGGGGTGGGGAGCACCACTACCATCATTCAAGCAAATTCAATTTGTATTATTATATTTTTATTAAGCTATGAAACAAGTTTATAAAATACCATTTCTATAATAAACACTAATAAAAGTAGGGCTATTATCAATAAATTATTGAGTCATCAATAGAACATTTAAGCTTAAGCCTACCTTATGTTTATCTTCTATTTGAATTTCTGGTTGTAGCAGCACTGCTATATAGCAGAAGAGCACAGCTTGAAATAGTTTAAAACAATTTCGAATAGAAAAAAATAATTGTTTTGGTATAGCAAGCGTGCAATGTTCTGTGCGTTCGATAACGCGTTTCTACTAAATATTCTTTGCCGCGTTATACCGCGTACAGGCTACTTAACGCAGGGGCTATTTTTGGTACCGTCAAATATTAAACGAACTTAGTAGACCTTTATTGACCAATCAGAAAAGGGGTGGCTTAGTGGATCCATTATAATTATAAGTTCGAGTTGCAAATATAGCTTATACGCAGTTATCGAATATTAATGTTCCTTATTAGTATCTTTGCTAACACTATAAACAAAATCCTTACCTTTTCCCCAGTTTTTAAATATTCAAAAATCTGTATCTCATTAATATCAATTGTGGATATTTGAACATAACTTCCACATTAAATTTTGGAGGGGGCCGGCAGGACCTCACCCGAACCTGCCACTTCCCAGTGTTGAAACTAGGTTCCGATGGGCCCTTTTTCGAGAGTACAGTCATCACACAGGTTAAGAATGCATATATAGAAAAATAATGGCCAAATCACAATTAGTTTTTTAAATAATATGACAGACAGTGTATTGCAAAAATTATATAAAAATAAATTGTTCAAAATTTCTTATCAATTCCATAATTATATGAAATGAGATGCTTAGGCCTATTCCTCAATGAATGAATAAATAAAGTGCAAGAAACAGCATTAATGCAATATGAATTACAATGAATATAGGTCTATTATATTTATACGTATGTTGTGAAATACCTAAAAAAAGATTCTGGATTCAAGAACAATTTATTGTCCATTTGAAAATAGGAATTTGTTTTTCCTTTGCAACAGTCTTGGTTAAGAAGGATAAAATGACATTAAAAATCACACGACAGAACAACTTGGCAATGACGAGAAATACGCTAAGATATTAACAACTTAAAATAGTAAAGTAGTAAAAAATAAAAATAAAAATCACTGTTTAAAACTGTTTAAAATTTACTATGTGTATCTGAGAAGCAGACCAGCCATTTTAGTGAAGATTAAAACTATAAAAACCTACATTTTGCTATAAAATAGTGACAACATGCTAATTAAATAAAACATGTGTTATGTATACACAGGATGTTATGCATATTCCTTCATGAATAAATAAAGTGCAAGAAACAAACAAAATTATATTACTGTAGGCCTATATAATGCAATATGAATAACAAGGAATGTGCGCCTTATATTTATACGAGTTGACGGGATATTTTGAAATAGGCCTACATATAAAAAGATGTGGCCTAATTAAATTTACGTGTTATGAATACACAGGGTACAATATGCTATGCATTATTTAGTAAACCTATTAAATATCTTTTGAATTAAGCTAGGTGAATACGTTAGATTTTCAAATAACAGACTGCTAGCTATTATTTAGTAAAGTTTTGGTTTATTAATGGCAGGAGGACCATGTATGTAGGTATTCCCATATGGACAGATCTACCAGGTGATCTCAATAGAGCAATAAGAATCAGGGGCATCAACTTTGGGTGGAGAGTCAATATTATTAGAATAAGGTTCCACTCAAACCCTACAACAGTCCCGGTCAGGGTGGTAGGACAAACGCCAGGGAAAATCAGCAATTTTGATTAGATACTTATTAACTGATAGATACTTACAATTCAACTAATCGATTTACACCTTTTTGATTAAAAAAATACTATGACATGGCCAAGGCCGCCCAATATACATGCGTACAACCCGTAGCTGAACTATGGTCCTGGTTCGAGACGAATACGTGTCAATTCTTTTAGAGTACCCTATTTTTGCACCATAGGCCAGGGGCGGATCCAGAAATGTCCAAAAGGGGGGGGGGGGGC